CTCTCTCTCTCTCTCTCTCTCTCTCTCTCTCTCTCTCCCTCCCTCCCTCCCTCCCTCCCTCCCTCCTTCTCTCCTTCTCTCCTTCCTTTCTTATATTATCCTGTAGGCTATATCATTAATATTAATATCATTGTGATTTCATACCAACATATTATTAATATTATTAATATCTTTAATTTGATGCTCAAATTTTCTCAGATTTGGCCAGTGGGGGCCACTCCAGGTGGCGTCTAGGTTTTTTTGGTGTGGTCCCAGTATTCTTCAAGCATTTTTTTACTTTCTGGCACCGCAAGATACTCCAGGCTCATCTTGTACATTCTCTTCTCCAGTCTAGGAACCAGCCATTTTTTTTTTTCCAAGGCACTCTTGTTCATTTTAGTGGAGAATGCTATTAAGAAACCAAGGTTTGGACACTAGGGATATTCATTGCTATTGGGGGTGGGTGGGGGAGCCACTGCTTCTAGGCCTTCTTGGTGATCCAGAATTAGGTTGTGTGTGTGTGTGTGTGTGTATGTACACACATCTATATCTAATTCTTTATAAATTACAAACTATGAATTCATACTGATATTGCCAGTTCTAGAATACCAGGAGGTTCAGTCTAGCCTTCTACCTTTCCATATTTGTGATGCCCTTCTCTGACAATGAGAAAGCTGATTTTTGTTTTACAATATATTTTTGTTTTTGCTCAATCCTGGAATATGTGTATATAGTATTTTCAGAATTCTTGATCCATACCTGAAAAATAAGCCTATTAACTCTAGAGTTTAATATTTGTTTAGTTTTTATCTTAAGCCTGAGGGTGGTAGTCATAATACTGTGTTCCCACATTACATGGATTAGTCCCTCCCCCAACTTCAGTGTGGCTGTTTTTTAAAAAAATAAAATTAGCTTAATATTTTCTTCCTGCATTCTGTTTTGCCTTGTGTGCCTCCCACATCTTTTAAATTAACGTTTTATTTATTTATTTTTGAGTATGTGAAATGGTACATTTTTGTGTATGCACATATACATTGAAGGTTAAATGATACAGAAACTGTTATTTTAATTTGCTATTGAATTGATCTTATTATGTCTTTTAGCCAAAACCTATCGATGTACAAGTCATTACACACCACATGCAGCGATACGCAGTTTGGTTTGGAGGATCGATGCTGGCTTCCACGGTAAATGAGATGAAGCTTACTTTTATACTTTGATTTTCTTTTTTTTTTTGTGATAGAAGACTCCCTCAATACTTAACCAATTTAGGAGAACAAGGAAAATTTATTTGAATGTTTTAAAGTTTTAAAATTGGATGCATATGTACATGGTATTTTTAAAAATGCAAGTCATTTGGTTTTAATGTTCATATTTTTCTTTGCTTGCTAGACATTTTTTTAGAGACTTTTGTTAGAGCATTTAGAGTTTAAATTGATCTGTAGGGAAAATTGTTTTAACCTTGCGATAATACACATATCAGGTCATTAGTTTTTTTTCTGTGCAAATATTTAAAAGCATTAAGATAAAATGTTTTATTGCATAGGAAGTACAGTGTTCTAAACTAAGTAAAGGGAATTGTTCTAAGAGCCCCTCCCAAAACCAAACATTTTAAAGCCTCTTTAAAAGACATTTTAACATCATTAGCCTAGTATATATTGTTGCTTTATCCCATAGTGCACAGAGTATTAAATAAAACGAAGGGGCTTTTATCTGAAGTATTGAAAATCATACAGCCTTGAATTTAAAATCATTTAAAAATGAGAGATAAATGTTATTTTCTTCCTTAATTGTAGTTGTATTCAATTGTGCCATATAACCTAGCTCAGTTTGTATCTTTGGCCTTTGAGAGATAACAGAGAGACATTGAATAGTCTGTCTATTCCAGACCTTGAGTGAGGAAAGCAAATTGATCTATACATTTCTGTAACATAACTAAGACTGGCTTATCTGTACTTCAGATTAATGCTGCTTCGTTAGGTTATTGATTCAATGTACAATTTGGGAAGGCCTCCGTAGAGTAGTCTGGGCATTTGAGAATCAACTTTTCATTCCTCAAAATTTCAAAATCATATGACGACAAACAAATGTCAAGGAGGGTGGAGGAATATGAGTTATATGCTCCTTTTCTCAGATTCATAGGTGATTTTAAGTCATGGTTGCTAGAATTTCCAAGTTTTGTTCAAGCATTTTGGATGGACAAACAATAAGCATTTTAGATTAAAAAATTTAAGCATGTTGAAAAGTAGTATATTTTTTACCTTTATAAAAATATATTTTTATTTTCAGCCTGAGTTCTACCAAGTATGCCACACCAAAAAGGATTATGAAGAAATTGGACCTAGCATTTGTCGTCACAATCCAGTGTTTGGAGTCATGTCGTAAAATTGACTTCATAGTTATTGGGGTTAGGGAGGTGGGGAAGAAATAATCTTTCTGATTACCTGTTTTGTCTGGATGGCTGGTTTTAAGGTTTTAAACCTGACTTGAAATAATAAGACCAAACACAATTATACAGGAATATTTTAATAAGTATATCAACATGCGAATGTAGAGGAGAGCCAAAATGATTGTTTTCTTTAGATTGAATATTTGAATCTTATGTGTATCAAAAAAGTGGGTTTTAGTTCTTTCTGTGCCCTGATATTTTGTATATTATTGAATTATCCGAGATTTGATGGGATTTATCAGTATGTAGATAGCTCTATAATGCTTGAATTGTACACTTTTAAGTGTGCAGTGCAAGAGCTTGTTTATATTTCATACTTTTTATACTTTGAGGAAAAAAGTCAAAGAAAAACTAGTATTTGAGTACAAAAAAAGTGACCAAGTAAAGGGTAAATTAAAAAAGTAGCCTCATGAGACTTGATGTACACACATGCTCATGGGATTCCAGTTATTACAAGTTGCTTCCATTCCCCTGTGCCGCCACAATGGTTTTCTTTGCAAGTGCTTTGGAACTAAGAAGCTAGTATCCTGGATTAACTGATGCCTGCTAGTGCTTTCTGATTACTGCATTCTGTTTGTTGATTTAAAGGAAAAGTAAAGACAAGAATGTTGGACCAGTGTTGCAGTTCTGTAGTGTCATTTCTTATTAAAAAATGAATAATTTGATTACCAGAATTGGTATATTTAAAGCCTGATGCCATTCTAATAAAGGCACAAATTTCTTTTTAATACGTGTTTCAAGCTCTTTAATCTCTTTATAAGTTAACCAATAAATCTATTTTCTTCAAATATCTGCAATAGTACTTTAAAATCACAACAGTTGATTAGCAAGCTGACTTTTTTATGTGCTCTAAACAAATAATTGTGAACTTTTAATATGTTGAGTGCTTTCATTTTGATAACTGGATCTCCATTTGATATTTTCATTTGTATAACTCATTTGCAGTCTGAAAATTTTTTAGTGCCAGTCCCTGACATATCATGGAAAGTTACTTTTCTTTGCATTTTAAAATACCTGGATCATGAAGAAAAAGTGATGAAAATAAATTAAAACTGAATTACCTTTTCTAATGTTTTTTTTTTAAAGCAGTATCATTCTACTTTATGTTTATGTATTTTGATATGATTTCTGTTTCTGTTGGAATAGTGGTAGAGAATTTCTTGTGAACTTGAAATTTTACCAGTTATTTATAGAAGACTAAAATGGCAAATGTTTTACAGCCTTTTTAGAACTTCAGCAATAATACCAGTGAACACTTGAACTTCTTTATCCATGAAAATAACACATAGGATTAGTATATCTCTACCCAAAAGTTGAAGAACAAAGTGTTTTTGTTGTTTGTTTTTAATATAAAGATAGAATTGGGGAGTACACTTTATATTTAGATGGAAACTGGATATTTAAAATTGTATTAACTATTTATGTGGATCTTAATTCTTTGAGTGTGGGAGTAAAGAACAAACTCTGTAGTAGCAGTAGTATCAGTATCGATGATCTTTTTACTTGAGAAAATATTTCATAAACAGTATTTAAAAAACTATTCACACGGTACCAAAGAGTAAATAGTGAAAGTAGGTTTCTGTCCCACCCTAGCCTGTTTCATTTTCTCATCATTACACTGTTAGAAATGTCTTATGTGTCCTTGTAATTTTCTGTGCATATTGAAATGAATATAGCTTTCTTATTTTACATAAATAGGAGTTTACTATATATACTGTTCTGCACTTTGCTTTTGCAAATACCTTTTTTGGAAAGAATTAAATTGATAAACATTAAAGATTTCATCCTTTTGGCTCAATAAAGTATCATTAGCATTGTCATAAATATGTCTTCTCTACCTAGGATGGTTGAATAGTAAATGAATATGCTCAAAAGACATTTACAAAGCTGCAGGTTACAATCTCATGCATACTTAAATAAAGATGTTCTTAACTTTTGATATAAAAATGTGAAGGTCAGAAATTCTTTTATGTTTATTTGGGGAAACAAGAAGACTCCAGCATTTCCTGCATGTTTCCTGATATCCCTCTTGCCCTACTTTCATAAGAGTGATCTATAATATAGCAACTGCTCATTTCTTACGTCTCTCCTGTCATTGTATATCATTTCTTCAGTTTATAGCTCCTTTGGTTGGCCAAGATGAATTCAAATCTGTAACACTGATGTGATGTCAGGCTGCACATGGTACATTGGAAAACAACAAACTGATGCCAGTGGTTGGAATTTTTATTGTGGTTCTACAAATGGATGATACAACTCCTTCAACTTTGACTTTTTGTTGTTAAAACATGGGAATTATATTTGTATAATGGACAAATTCTTCAAATTTTCTGGACCTTAATTCAGTTTATATATAAGGTAGCAGTGTTACCTGGATTAACAATGCAATTTTTATGAGTGCTGAGAATATAACCCAGCTGTCTCCTTTCTGACAGGGCTTTGATCAATGGAAAGTATTAATGGACAGAAATAAAACAGATGCTGGTTATCTAACTTAATGTCTACTCTTTAGTAAGCAAGTTATTACAACTTAACCCTTAAACATTAGTAAATGGCATATACTGCAAGTAATCACCCTCTTCTGATCTATCTTCCTTTCTGATAAGAGGTAAGCAGTTATCTACTCAGGTTGCCCAGTATAATTTTATGGTTTATTTTCAAGGCTATTTTCAAAGATTGAAATAACTGTTGCAGTTATTTCTAGAAATACCTTTAAAAACTTATAGTATGAACTATAGTGATCATAGGCTCTTTGGTCCTTTATTCTTTACTTAGTTGCTACAGAGAAGAAGTCCTAGAGAATATATCCATATAAATAGAAGATTTTTTCAGATAACTGTAAAGATGGTACCAGGGTACTTACAACATTATTTAGGAATTGTAGAAACTTGTACCATTGTAAAAAGAGTTGTTCCTTCAAGTACTGGACTGATATGTCAGTAGTAAAGTCCATTGCATTTCTGCTTTTGTTACCAGCCCAGCTTTGACTTGGGTGACCCCTACTTCCTGATCTTTTGTAGTTCGTAAGCACCAGACGTGATTCCTTGGATAGCCTTCTGCAGTCTCTTCTTAACTGTTAGCACCCAGATTCCTATCTTAGGTTAATGGGCACTAAATATATTAGCTAAAATACAGCCCCAAAATATGTGCCACCTGGGAGTGAAACATTCTCCCCCTCAGCTTGGAATCCTGCGTCTTAGAACATTTTTCAGTCTATACAGTTGGCTAAGGACAGAGTTGGTACTGAGAATTCACAGGGAACTTTCATAGCAAATCCTGAAATAAGGACGTACTTTATTTTTCTAATTAGGTACATGACCACATCTGAGTTGACTTGAAGCAAGAATGTTTAGATCTGCCGGAGGGTCTGGAAAGTTGGTAGACTTCAGTGAAAAAGGATTTCTGCTACTCATTGTTGATAACTCCTCAGTACTGTATATAATAAATGTTCATTCCTCTTTCACATTATTTGTTTTTCAACATAGCAAATCTTTCATCATAACCTGCTTGGTCTTGATAGAACCTTAACAAAAGTAAATTGAAATCTGTGATTGTCTTTAGTATTCTCTATGCCGTAACCCAGTTTAACTGATGCATTTTGGAACTTAGGAGCAGAAATTAAACATCTATTTGAATTTAGAATTGTATTAACATTGTTCCACTGGTCATAGGAGCAGTAAAAAAGGAACAAAAATAGAAATGAATGACTCAGAAAAAATGGCAACGGAAAAAAAGAAAAACCTAAAAGAAAAAAATTAAAAGTATTCTGTTAAAAATTAAAAGAACTGTTCTATTATTTTTTATTTAGCAAGTGATTATTCTTTACTGTTTTCCAGTGTCCATCACTCTTGGTGACTTTTACACATTACATGGAAACTAAGACGCTGAATCAAAATAATTTCACTTTTATTTAAACACTGTAACTCATTAATAATACCTATATACTACATCAAGTTTTGGGCCTCCAAACCCAGAGGCATTTCTTGACTATATACTGTGGTTCAAGCATTGTGCATGAAGATGAATAAAAGATTATATCCTGAGCATACTGGCTGCTATAATAGTAAAGACACTCAGAAAGGGAGAAATATCTTCTCTAGAGATTTGAGAGATCTTACTAGGCTAAGAATTGCTCTTCATAGAGGTGGTGGTGGTGGTGGTTTCCAGGGGGGAAAGAGAACTCAGCTAGGTAAGGTGAAGGTTCAAGTGTGGCTGTGGTTTAAAATTTGTGCCTGAAAGTGTGTAAATGTTACATACACCAATAATTGAAGAAAGTGATTCCAGAGTAGAATATGTCTTACTCATTTTGGTATTTCTAGTGCCTTACATTTTGCCTGGTACATAGTAGTGATTCAGTGAATGTGTTTGATAGATTGAATGAAAAATCGTTTTTCATTTTGAAATTAAAACTGAATTAGTTGAACGTACAACTTTTGTTCCTTTAAAAATACCCATATCAAGAAAGTAAAATTGGGTGACTTTTTCTATTCCACTAGTTTTTGCCTTAAAAATAAAACAATGGCAATCAACATAAAACAGTGCATTATTATTAAGTGATCATAAATTTTCTGAAGTAGGTCTCCAGTACTTTAATTAGGTCTTTGATTATTTTGAAATCTCCATAGTTTAAATGATTGTGTTTTAAATCAGAGCATTGTGCAATGCTAAGTAAAATGCTCTGAACTGTTTTATAACATTCAACATCAACAGTAGAAACACTACTAATTTCTAGCTCTAGATATTCTTGAATAGTTTTGATTTTCATCTATCTCATTTTGAACCCATTTTCAGTGAATGAGTCAATGGTGCAGTAGATTGTTAATCTTGGAGGTTTATTAGAAAGTTAATACTGGAATTGGAACCATCCATCCTTTCTCTTATTGAGAGTACATGGTATCTTTCCCAAACAAAGTCTTAAGACGCTACTGCTCAGAGGGTTGGGCAGTAAGAAAATCTGAGACTTGGTTTTTTGTTTGTTTGTTTGTTTTTTGTGTCATAATGCTTATTGGGATATCATGTACATTCATGAGCTGACTAAAGTACTTTCCTATGTTTTACATCCCCATGACTGTTTTGTAACTACCAATATGCACTTCTTAATCTCCAACTTTTTCACTCTGCCCCACAACCCCCTCTCATCTACCACCACAACAAATCTAGTATCCCTTTAACACCATATGTAATTATTACAATATTATTGACTATATTCCTTATGCTATACTCTATAACTCCGTGACTACTTTGTAACAACCTTTCTTAGTTCTTCCCCCGTATTCATGAGTTTGTTTCTGTTGTGTTTATTTTGTTCTTTAGATTCCACGTATAAAAATCACATTGCATCTTTCTTGCTGTCTGACATACTCCACTTAGCACAGTACCCTCCAGGTCCATCCATGACGCCGCAGATGGTAGGAACCATTCTCTTCCATGGCCGAACAATATTTCATTGTATATATGTACCAACTCTTCTATTCTTCCAGCGACAGACACCCAAGCTGCCTCCACATCTTGGCCATTGTAAACAATGCTGCAATGAACATATGGATGCACATGTTCCCTCAAAGTAGCATGTGGGTTTATTCAGATTAATACCCAGAATTGTGATTACTGGGTCCTTTTTTCTCTTGTTATAGTCTTTGTTTTAAAGTTTATTTTGTTTGGTATAAGTGTTGCTACCACAGCTTTTTTTTGTTTTGTTTTTTTCATTTCCATTTTTAATGAAATTGCTTTTTCCATCCCTTTACTTTCAAACTCGACTGTGTGTGTCTTTCAATCTGAAGTGATTGTCTTGTAGGCAGCATCTGTAAGGTTCTTGTTTTCTTATCCATTCATCTCACCTGTGTCCATTGGAACATTTAATTCATTTACATTTAAAGTAATTGTTGATAGATATGTAGCTGTTATTTTACTATTCATAATTTTGATCATTGTTTTCCATCTTAAGTCCCTATAACATTCCTTGTAATACTGGTTTGGTGGTGATGAACTCCTTTAGCTTTTTCATATCAGGGAAGCTCTTTATCTGTCCTTCAATTCTAAATGATAGCTTTGCTTCAATCTTA